TCTCATCCCTGAGAGGTGAGCCAGGCTTGACTAGCACCCATGGCCCAGTGGTCTATCCACACAGACACAGCCTCAGAGATGGGCATTGGTTCAGCACTAGGGCTCCAGGTTGGGACAAACACACGTGACTCTCAGCTCTGCCATTCACTAGCTGTGTGACTTTGGGTGAGTCACTCAGCCTCTCGGAACTCATCTCCTCATCTCTAGCCTGAGAATGATAACACCATCCTCACAGGGTCGGGGAAAGGGGAAGTGATACAGTAGGCATGAGGCCCACTGTCCAGCACATAGCTGTTACTTTATGATAATTTTCAATTTGTTACCAGCCCAAGCAATCCTGTTTGATGACATCTTTAGCTTCCCCCTCGCACGGGAAGGGCCAGGAGTGGTGACATCAGGCCCCCCTGACAGCTTCCACCCCAAAATAGCCCTCTCTTTAGACTGGCCCTATCCCATTACAGCTGCTTCTGCGCTCTCTGTCCCAGCTGAGCTGACGTCCCCTCCCACTGCGGCTCCTGCAAACAGAGGGGTGTCTGGATAGCAGCTCTGGCCCAGGGGCAGCTCTGAGAGAGTGTTGCAGAATAAAGGTCCCAGGCTCTGGAGCATCCTGGATTCGAATCACTGACCTCACTGTATGACCTTGGCCAACACTTAACTTCTCCAAGCCTCAGTTTCCTCATCTGGAAAGTGGAGCTAACAGCAACCCACTGGGTTTGTTGTGAGGCTTTGAGTGGACAATGTATGCAAAGGACCCTGCGTGGGAGCAGGAGCTCAGTAAATAGTACTGGTTATTATACCTGCAGCTCTTGGAAGTTTACAAAATCACTTCCATCTGCCCTCCTACAGGGGCCCCGAACTGGGGAGCTGTCCTTGCTGGTTATCATCGTGAAGAAACTGAAGCTTCTGAGCTGCTTGTTCTGCCCCCAGGATTTCCAAAGCAACCAGCCCATTCCAGAGCAGGGATCCTGAAGCTCTCTGGGCCCAGCCCTTGACTCTGAATCAGGTGTCCAGCCTCACGCGGTTCTGCCTGATCACTCCTCTGGGGCTGAGGCTGAGTGCGGAGCAGGGACTTGCTCCAGGCCCCCCAGGGGCAAAGGGGGCCGGGATGAGGCTTGGCTGCAGGGAGGCAGGGTGCCGAGTGCTTAGTTGGATTTAGACTCTTAGATGGTCAGAGCTGGAACATTCAGGGGCATGGAGAGCAGTACCTTCTACTGACTGCTAAGGAGACAGAAATCTGGAGCTGGGAGGACACCTGAGGGCATGGAGCAAGTTAGGGGCAAGCTCCATTCACTCACTCACTCATTCACTCATTCATTAATCTGAAGAATGTGTATCGAACACCTTCTCAGGGGCAGGCTTTGTGCAGGGACCTGGGGCTGCAGTGGCTAACAGGACACAGCCTCTGCCCTCAAGGATCCTACGGTCTTAAGTGGGAGTGAGGCAATATAAGCATTCCTGGTTGGGAGGCACCAAGAGCTGCTGGGGCACAGGTGGGAGGCAGCCTCTCTGAAGGAGAGGGGTGGCAGGGCCCTGGGAGGACTCAAAGGGAGAAGGTTCTGCAGGGCGAGGCCTGCTCCCTAGCCTGACCTGCTGGTGGCCTCGCTCTTGTCCCCTCCTCGGCAACTGGGAAAATGGGACGGGGCTGCTTCTCTGAGCCGGACTTCTCCCACAGCTTTGAGGGGCCCACAGCAAAGGGGTCAGTCAGATCTTACCTGACCCTCGCCCACATGGGGAAACCGAGGCCTGTGCACAGGCTCCATGCTCCCTTCTTCTCCTTGCCTTCCTGCCTCTGTCATAGAAAAGAAGCCCCTGCTCTTGGGTTTGCCACACCCCCCAGCTGCATCGATCCGATCCGCAGTGGTCTTGCTCTAAGGATCTCACCTCAGGACTGCCCAACAGGGAACTACTCAGACTGCCTGCTAACACACCCTGGATGTGGCTCAGGCCTCTAGCACATTAGTGTCAGCGTTCGGGGATGTGGCCAAACTCCTTTCAGCACCTGAGCACCTGGCGAATGGAATCAGAGAGCAGGATACCCAGCACATGGAAGACAGTCTTGCTCGGCTTGAGGCAGGGAGGGGGCCCAGAGCCTCACCGCCAGCTCCACGCCCCGCAACCCTGTCCCCATTGGGACTCCTGAGCGCCCCAGGGAGCTCAACTCACCAGCCCCTGACCAAAGTCATTGCCCTCATTGGAAGTGTCAGAGAACCCTCCGAAGTTTCTCCAGCTTCCATGCCTTTGCACCTGCTGTTCCCTCTGCCTGGAATGCCTTTCCCAGACCTCCACCTGAGCCAGCTGAGTTTGTTCCCTCACTCATTCGGCAGGTATTTGTTGGATGTGGCTAAACGCCAGGCAGAGAGCCGTGCTTGAGGAAAACAGCTGCCAGCGAGCCAGAGACTGGGGGATACAGAGGTTAAAACACACACAGACACAGTAACATGTAGTGCAAATAGGAACAGGTCTTATAAAGAAAAAAAAAGACTAAGAAAGTGGGATCTAATTTGATGCATTGGGGAACATGGTCTAGGGAAGGCTTCTCTGAGGTCATGACTTTTCAATTGAGCTTGGGAGGAGGAGTTCGCTTATAGAGAGTGAGAGAGGAGTGTTCCAGACAAAGGGAACAGAATGTGCAAAGGCCCTGGGGTGATGAATAGTTTGATGCGTGTAAGGAAGTTCAGACTGGTATGGCTGGAGCCTAGAAAGGGAGCCGGTGAGGAAGAGTCAGATCATACAGGGAGGCAGAAGTGGCAGACCTTGGTGAAGGGACCATATGGGTAGCAGGAAGAGGGAGGGGTCCAAGATAAGGAGCTAGAAAAAGAGACTGGTAAATAGGTGGGAGAATAAATCAGGAGAGAAGCCTATTCCAGAAGCCAGGTGAAGAAAGGATTGATTTCTTGGAGAAAAGACTCATCAGTATCTACAGTGAAGGAGTCGCCTCCTCCAGGAAGCCTTCCTGGACTCCACGTGCAGGGTTAGGGGTTCCACAGTGCCTTGGCCTCCCCCATCAAAGTGTTTACCTCCTTCCCAGACTAGCCTGGGAACATCACAAAATTTTTAGTACATTATTTGTTACATAAAAGAATGTAGAATCTGGCCCAGGACAGCCTCTTCAGCTTTGTACCTTCCAGGCAGGCTGAAGCCAGACCCCTCTTGGCTGGAGCTGGGACCACTCCCAAGGAAAGCCTCCCTTGCATTCTTGTCTGACCCCTTCCTGAGGCCCCCTCTGTCTCTTTACCTTTTCCTCTTGGCTCCCAGACACCACACTGCCTGATCAGCTTCCGGAAGATCAGCAACAGGCTCCCCCAACAGGTGAAGACAGAGGGCTGACAGTGCCTGGGGCCCTTCAGTTAGGGGCCTGGCAGCCTCAGTTTCCAGAGCGCCAGCCTTCTCCTGCCTGCAGGCTGCCCCAAGCAAACCTGGGGGACAGCAGGACAGGCTGTGGGTTCCAGGTGGGGAGATGGAGCCTCCCTGGGACTGGCAGCCTTTCCCGGCCACAGGTCTGTGTCCTCCACGGGGCAGCATCCAGGCGCCCCTGGGCCAAGCTTCAGGAGAACACCTCCAGAGGCAGGCAGTCCTGTCACACATCCTAGATGGTCTGTTCCCCGTCCCCGCCCAGGGAAACTCACACTCTGAATCCAGTCTCCTATCATTGTCTGTCTCCCATTGGAGGCTGGGAGCATTTCCAGGGCAGAGGCCTCTTTCTTCTTCCATCCTTCCCTCCCCCCACCCTTTCTCTCTTTGCTCCCTCCACTAAGCACAGACTATTTCTTGACTTGAGCTCTTCCTTCCTGCACGCTGACCCTGACACAGAGGCTGGCCCACTGGCCACCTGACTGCCCAGAGATGCCATGTCCACAGGCTGGGCCTCACCAAGCTCCCAAGGGTTGCAGCTCCAAATGTGGCAAAGGGCCCCTCTCCCTGAAGAGAGCTGAGCTCCTGCAGAGGAAGGGGACTTGGCCTGGAATCTGTACCCGAAAGCCAGGCCTGGCTGGGGTGGCGTGGGGTGGGGTGTGGGGGTAATCCAGAGGGGATTTTCTTAGTAGGAACTGTGGTCCCAGGAGGACCTGAGCCCCCAAACGGCTGGTCCAAGCTGGAGTGAGGCCCTCTCTCAACCAACCCTACCCTCTGAGGCCAATGGGGCCTTCTCCATACTGAACTTGCAAACCTGCTACTTCCCAAGCCCTGCCCCAGTGCCTCAGACACACTCCAGCCTCCTGTTTCCCGCCTTTGCACATTGGCCAGACACAGCCAGCGTGTGCCCAGTATACCAGCCAAAGCCGCAGCAGCCTAACCCGGTTAAACAACCGGGGCTTTAGATACCTGCACCCCTGGAGCTCCAAGCCAGCAGACACTGCCCTGGCCAAGCCATTCCGAATCTCACAAGTCCCTGTCCCAGGCTCTCAGCAAGAGCTCTGTCCCAGGCAACTTTTCCCCAACAACCTGCCCGGGAGGTTGCAGCAGAGGCAGTGCCCTGGTGGCAGTCCCTGGGGCTCTGCAAAGTGGGGAGTGCTCAGCCTGGCTTTAACTACAGGCTACCTTCCTGTGGCCTGCTCCATCTATATTTATCTGCAGGATCTCACTAATTAGATTCCCCATAGCACAAGGCAGGCCTGGGGACAGCGAGCAGGGCGGACAGGCAGGGGGCTGCAAACTTCCTTCCTCTCCTTCTTGGCCAAGAGCACAACAGAAGCAGCCGAAACTCCCTCTCCTTCCCCGCTACCCTGCCGAAGCCCGGGGTCTGAAGGGCTGCCCAAGACTCTGCTCAGGGGACCCTTCAGCCCTGTGCCCCTTAACCCCAGCACCCATACCCACCCACAGGTCCCAGGCCCAGACAGTGGCCAGCTGCCTAAACACCTCCCCCCTTCAACTCAGATTCCTGCAGCAAAGCAGAGAAAAGTCTGCTGAGGAGCGCTGCTGAATCCCCAACTCTGCCACTTCGCGGTGCCTGTCTTACCGTAGGAGTCGCCTTGGCCCAGGAGGGAGTCGGGCTCCATGGCGTAGGGGCCCCCAGCCCCCGGCCCCACCTGATTTATGAACCGAGGCTGTCTCCATGAGCGTCTGGGTTTCTCCTTTTGTATTCCATCTGGCGGCTTTTCCAACTAGATGACTGGGTATTCCTGCAAGCAGGCCCCTTTCCAGCCCTTGCCTTCATACAGTACATTTAAAGTAGCAGTAACCTCTTTTTCCTCCCCCTGCAGCCTGGCTGGAAACATTAGAAGGGACTGAGGCAGCGAGAAGTCTAAAATAGGAAGACGCCAGGGACGACTGGCCTGGCTGCCCGCGATGCTGGCTGCGGGGATCTGGCCCGGCTGTGCAGACAGAAAACCTAAGAGGTAAAGCTGAGCTGGGGCTTAGCATCTGGAAGCTGGCACTGGGCCCCCAGGGGCCTGTGGGAAAGTGGGGAGGCTGACCCACCCGTGGGAAGGAATGGGGGGTCGGCTCTGTTCGCCACCCAGTGCCCAGCCCCCAAGGGTTTCTCCCAGGCCCTGCTGGAACCTCCCACTCAAATCTGTTCTACAGACATTTCCTGCAGTGTGGGGGATGCAGAAATTGACTCATCCATCCATTCAGTTAGTCACTAAATTTTTTTGGAGCATCTACTCGGCGCCAGACACCACGCCAGGTGCTGGATTTGCCATAGGAAGCAAGGCTCGGCATCTCACCTCGTGGAGCTCCCAGGTAAACAGGTCGATGCAATGCAGTGTGTGGGGTATGTGCTGGGGGGGAGGGAAGCAATGCTCCACCTAGATGGGGGAGGTGGTCAGGGAAGACTTCCTGGAGGAGTGGTCACCTAATCTGGGCTCTAAAGTATGAGTAGGAGTGAGCCAGGTGAAGAAGGAGGGAGTGAGGGGGAGATGTGTGCCAGGTGGAGGGAATGGTCTGTTGCCAAAGCCTTGAATTGAGAGAGTAGATGAGGCGTTTAGTGCCCCAAATAAGTTCCAGGTGGTTGCAGCAGTAGTTGCAGGAAGGGGAGTACAGAGAGATGAGACCGAGGAGGGAGGCAGGAGATGGGCAGGCAGTGCCTCCCAGGGAGTTCTCAGGCCTGCCCCTAAGGATGGTCCATTGGAGTGGCATGTTCTCAGCTGTCCTTTAAAAAGCCTCTCTGACTACTGTAACCACAGGACCGGCTCTGACACTGGGTACTCATGAAGCAGCTACCAGAGCTGGACCCTGTTGGGAGGGTTTGCCCACATCGGCATGTACACTCATCAGTGATCCCTCTATGAGCAGACGTGCTGGCTGCCCTGTCTTACAGATGAGGGCCGTGCAGCTTAGGTGAAGTGATGTGTCCAAGGCTTGTGAGTGCAGGTCTGGACCTCAGAGAGGTCACAGGCTTGGTGCTGGGGGACAGGGGGGAGAACAAAGATGCAGTAAGTCAATCTGTGTCAGGCCTAGAATACAGAACAGGGCCATAGACTGCAGGAGAATAGCACCATTCAGATCCAATCAGGGAAGGCTGCCTGGATGAGGAAGCATGTGACCTGGGTAGACAGAGAAGAGAAGGATTTGGATGGTCAGAGCAGGCAAGGGGTGAGCATCCCAGGCAGCGGGAATGGTGCAAGCAAAGGCATGGAGGCAGGGGGGTGGCCCACAAGGGGAATGACAAGAGACTGGGAGAATGTCAGGGGCGAGACAAGCCAGTCGGGCTGGCACAAAAAGGACCTGGAATGCAGCCTGGGAATGTGAGCTTGGCCCCGGTGAGACACTAGCCTCGGGAGGCTTTGTTTCAGAGACTGGCCTCCTTTCTAATGGCAGCCTGGGCACTCCTGCTTGCGGCTCCTACCAGTTTTCTCCTAAATGGTTTGCCCTTAAGGCAGGAGAAACCTTTCTGCTTTCTGCCCATAGCACCACTGGAACATTAGAAGCCCAGCCTCAGTGACCAGCCTTTTGAAGACGTGGCTCTGGTGCTGAGGCAGAGGGGACATCAAGAGGAAGGAGATGGGAGACAGGGAGACAAGCTTTGGGGGCCAGGTAGGAGGACCAAGGCCAGGGTTAACAGGGAGGAAAGGCCCACCTGGGGTCCACCCCTGCCCAGTTACTGCCAGATTACCCAGTGGCTGCTGAAGTGGTTAGGCCAGCCACAGGGAAGTTTCTCTAAACCCCTCATCCCCTCCCTCCAATTTTGGATGACAGAGATACCAGCTCTCAACCTCCCACTGCCCTAACTACAGGGAGGCCAGGCCCTACCCAGGCAGCCGCGGGCACCAAGCTCCCTGGCTCCCTGAGTCAGTGGGTTGGAGTGGGTGGGGGGTGGGGGGAGGCTGCAGTAGGGGAGGGATCTAGGGGGAGGGTATTGGGCCCTTGGACTACCAGCCAACAGGTGAGGTCAAATCCAGTTCTACCCCCAGCTTTCCAGGGCCTGGGGGGTTCTGGGGGTCTGAGGTCATGTATACATATGCACCTGTGGCTTTTTTCTAGATAGAGTGGGATGGGACTGACATCAACCACACTCTGCCACTTACTAGCTGGGTGCCACTGAGATAATACTCCACCCTTGGGAGTCTCATTGGTAGAAGGGGGCTGGCTACTCAGAGCCCCTCCTCATAGAGTGGCTGTGTGGATTAAGGGTAATAAAGTGCCTTAAAACCTTAGGACCTGACCAGGCCAAGTGTGTCTTAAACACTCAGCAAAGGGTAATGCTCATCCTTACCCGAGCTTTTGTAGTGCTAACAGCCGATAAGAGAGGTAAGGGAGGTGGGAGAGAATATGGGCTTATTTTACAGATTCAGAAGCTGAGCTCTGAAAAAAGGGACTTGCCTTAAGGGTGTCCCCATGAGGCTCAGGATCTACCTCTTGCCAGGCTGTGCCCCCCAGAACCTGCATAGAGCAGGAAGTAAGGCTTGGCAGGAGGGGGACCCCAGCCCCAGTTCTGGCTGTGCCTCCAGGCCTTGGTGTGAGCCAGGGCCAGGTGCTTCCCACCCTGGGCCTCATTTTTTCCACAGGTTGAGGTCAGAGCCGATTAGCTGGGCAACTCCCACCCTCCCATTCCATTTCCCTCTTTTTGTGAATTAGATGTTTATGTTTCAGTGCAACCAGAGCTCTAAGCTTCCATGGATTCATTTACAATAAATGTGTCTTGGGCCCTGGGCTCTTCTTCCTCCCTTGATGACAGGACAAAGTGAACAGATCTGTCTCCTAATTAAAGGCTGCACAACATTCACCTGTTGGCTGTGCCATACTTGATCTGAACAATTCCCCTACCGATGGACACCGAGGTTGTTGCCAGTCAGTCAAGATGACAGACAACACTGAGACAAACATCTCAAATATACTATGCTCAACTGTCTCCTGACCTCCCTAGGGTGAAACCCTAGATGGAAAATTCCTGGATCACCAAGTGCTGGCATTTGTACCAGCACTTGTTTCTGGTTTGGTAGCAAAGGGCATACACGTTGCATCTGGTTCTCTGACTCATTCCGCCAACAGAAACGGGCTGCTGACTGTGTGCCCAGCCCTGTGCTAGCGGCCGGGATGGCTGGGTCCCTGCTCTAGTGGCATTTAAATCCTAGCTGGGGGAGGCACACACACCTCCAGATGAGAGGGGTGCTAGCCAGAGAATGAAGCAGGGCCATGTGACCGAGCATGACATGACACTGTGAGGGGAGGCCCCTCTGAAGGGGTGACATTGAAGCAGTGACCTGACCAGCAGGTTTGGGGGAGAGCAACCAGGACTGGGCAGAGCTAAGGAAAGGCCCCCACCTAGTGAGCTGGTGACCAGGTAGGAGAATGGCCCGAGAACAGGGAAAGGCCAGAGGCCACTTGACGGGGGGCCTCCTGTGCTGGGCAGTGTGGGAGGTGCTGCAGGCTTGAACCAGGGGAGTGACATGAAAGGCTGCTGTGTGCACTGTGGCCTAAGGAGGGGCCAGGGTGGACCTGAGGAGATAGATAAGACACAGTGCAGTCTGAGACAAAAGATGCTAGGATTCCACCAGGTGCTGGCAGCAGGAATGGAGAAAAGCAGGTGGTTCAGGATACACAGGGGCCCCCGGGTGAGGCTGGATGGTCAGATGGGGAGGAGAGACAGAACCCGATGATCTCGAGTCTTTTGGCCTGAGCAGCTGGGTTGGTTTACAGAGCTGAGGGAGACCCTGAGGAGAGGGTTTGAAGATGGGGGTCTCAAGCTCTGCTGGGGGAAATGCAGACAGGCCCGTGCAGATGTCCAGGAGGCTGCTCCTGGCTACAGGACAGGAGTCCAGTGGAGCAGTGGGCTGGTGCGTCTGAATCTGGGAGCTGAGCTCCAGCCACAGCCCAGTGACCAGCCCACTGCACACCACAGCAGGAGTCCCCTGGTCTCAGATGTGACCTGTCAGCCTGTGCAAAGAAAGGGAGCTAAGTAGGCACAGGCCCCAAGTCTGGCTGCACGGAGGGACATTAGCAGGAAGGCGAGTGGGTAACGGGAGAGAGTGGGCACCCGGTGGTCAGCTTGCTCGTTGCCCTTCCCTGCTGGGCCGGACGAGGCCAGCAAGTTGGCACAGAGCTAATGCCGCATCTGGCCCATTCACTGTCCCCATCCCTGCCACACCCCGGGCTAGGCCAGAGCAGACACAGAAAGGAAAGGAAGAACGGAAGCCCAGGGATCTGAAAGCTGGAAGAGGGAACGTCGGGGTAAAGCGCGGCTGGAGGAGGGAGCCGTCCTTTGGAGAACCAGTCAAGCTTTTGCGGAGGAGAGGCCAGCCGAGGTGCACTGAGGGATGAAGAGGAGTTCGTCAGGCAGACCAGCGGAGCAAGGGCAGGCCACACCGCTGCATGTCACGCCCACCATCCTGGGTTGGGTGAGCCTTCACGTTACCTTCCAACCTGGGTTCTGATTTTCTATCTTAATCCTGCAATCCAAGGCCAAGTGGAGCCCCTGGGGAGCCCACAGGTCTTGCTTCTCCTGCGGCTCGGAGCCAGGGTAGAGTCTGACCCTGATGCCTCCGGGCCCCCTCCGAACACAGACTCACGTGGGCTTGAGTCCACTCCGCAGCACCCTGGCTGGGTCTCTCGGTGAGGACAGGTAAGCCTGCCCAGTCCAAATCCCAGCTCCCCATTGCCCAGCTGGGGGAACCCTCAGCAAGTGGTTCCAGTTTCCTCACTGGAACTGTGGGCTAAGGAGAGCCCCTGTGGGCTGGTACAAGGAGGAGTTAGCACAGGTAGAATTTAGAACAGGGCCAGAGGAAGCACTCAGTAAATCTAAAATCGAATCTAGAACCTTCCGGGCCTTCTTCTCATCGCCCTCCCCCCTCCTCCTGTCCGTTTCCTCCCTCTTTCCCTCCCCTCCCCTCCCCCCACCACCCCAACTCCACTCCACTGCTGGCCTTGCTTTCCTCTGAACTGCCCTGCACAGACTTTTCTCCAGGCCTGGCCATTTCCTCTTGGAGTCCGACTCCCCAGAGCCGCACCCCTCTCTGTGTTAAGGTCTTGGGTCAAATGCCACCTCCAACCACCCTCTTTAAGACATCATGCGCCTGCCCCCAGCCCCTCCCGCATTCCCTGTCCAGCCCCACCTGGCACTTCACATAGCACCTGACATTATATTATCCGTCTATGTGTGTGTCATCTGCCAGCCCTGCTTTCATGCAAGCTCCATGCTGTGCCCCCAGCACCCTGTCCAGTGGATCCCCAATAAACATGTGTGCAGGGAAATAACTGTGGAAGGACTGTTAGCTGTAGCTGTTCCCACCCCACCCGACTCCCCCTCGCCGCCTCCTGCCTTAATTTATAAGCACACACTCCAGGACCTCTCACTGAGGACCAGGCCTCTTGCATCTAGCCGCTCTTGTGTCCCTCCCTGTGTCTTAATGCTCATCTGCTTGGACTGGGCCCTCCCTTCCCATGAAAGGGCTGGGACCCCAGGAGGGAGAATGGAGAGTCGTCCACTGTGGGGGAGGAGAGGTATCCTGTGAGCCCAGCGCTCTACTAAGCACCTCACTCATCAACTTCCCAAATAAGGTTTGCTGAGCCCCATTTCACAGATGGGAGAACTGAGAGGCTGCACCAAGCCCCTGAGCAGTGGCAGAGCTGGGGTTTGAGACCGTGTCTGCCTGCCCAGAAGGCCCTAGTGGCCCCACTGTAGCACCTGGTGGTGCCTTCTACGGAAGAGGAAAGGAGCGGGTCTGGGTGGGGGCACAGGGAGGCCCAGAGGTGGGACAGGGCCAGCCTTTGGTCTGCTCCCTGGTGGCCCCATTTTACATCCTTAGGACCCTCCAAGCAACTGTCTTTCGCCATCGCCTGTGTTTAAGGAGAGGGGTGACTCTGCTTTAGAGGCCCAATCAAAGGCCTCAAAACTGAGGGTGGGCAAATTTCAGCGAGTTCTGAGCGAGGGTGCAGGGAGCAGGAGCACAGTACAGGCTGGCCCTGAGCGACCCACCAGGCAAGGAGGGGCTGGCTCCTTCCGATGACAGTGCTCCTGCATGCACGGGGTCGGGGTGGGGGGGGGGCCTTGTGAGAATCCTCCCCACGTCGTCCTGAGGAAAGCTGGGCTCAGGACAGGAAATGCTCATCAGCCTCTAACAGCCCAGAAGTGGCAGGAGCCAGGCCCGGATTCTGGGGCCTGTCCACCACATTGAGCTGCGGGGCCAGATTAGAAATTTGATTCTTCCGTGGTTCTGTTGGGAAGGTTAAGTAACTTGCCCTAGTGGTCGGTGGTCTCACAGCAGATTCCAAGGCCCAGACTCTCAACCACAACATTCTGCAGGCTCCTCATGGTGCACGCATGTCAAGCTGAATTACCCTTAAAGAGCCACAAACCCTTTCAGGAAGAAGGCAAGCTCTAACTAAATGCCAGGGGTTGGGGCTTTCCAGCGCTGAGGGGATGGGGATGGTGGTCTGGGGCCCCCAGTGTTCCCTGAAATTACAGATTTTGTGACTAGCAAGGTTCCACTGGAGAAATTCTGGCTGCTGGGTCCCAGGGCCCTGCTGCATGTTCGGTAAGCCCTAGACACGCTGGCACACCCTGTCTTCCAGCCCAGGCTTGAGATGCAGGTTGGTGGGAAGTGAGGGACATCTTCAGCAGCTGGCCAGGGCAGTGTTCTCTGTCTCCTCCCTGAACCCCAAGTTTGGCCTTGGTGGTGCCCAAGTGCCTAGTCACTGCCCCAAGAGATCCAGAGCCCCAGGTGGGAGGCTCACCCCAAGTGCTCCCCACAGGGGGCAGGAATTTCCTCCATGACATCCTTGATCAAAATTCTGCTTGCTTACCTCCCGGGATGGGGAATTCACTCCCTGCCAGGCAGTCAGTTCCCTTGGACAACAAGTAATGTCCCTCCTCAATGGAGTCATGCTATGTCCTCCTGTTGCTGCCCCACACTGGTCCTAGTTCTGTTCTCTCCGGTCACACAGCGTGTTTCTGCTCTGGGGAAGCCCCCACAATCATCAGAACCTCTCCCCACATGAGCTCAGTTCTCTGTACTCCACCTGACCCCGCCCCACATCCCATGCTCCCTGGCTGGTTTTCAGGTTTTATGGTGAGTCAGGAAAATGCCAAGAAGCCTGGAAGCATTTTACCAACACGGCAATTGTAGCAGTCCATGCAATTCAGCAAACTTTAGCCAGAGACTGTGCCAAGCGCTGGAGACGCACAAGCGGATCAGAGTCCCTGCCCGTGAGGTCCTCTGCTTGGATAGGGGCAGGGTGGGTGGGGAGGTAAACACGGGCATCAGTCAGGAGGGAGGATCAGCAGAGTGACTCACCCCCGCCTAGTTGCAGGAAGTGTTTGAAACACTCTCTAAGGATGGCTAGTTTTCCAGCTGGTAGGCATGGGGAGATGGCAGACAGAGCATGTAGGGTGGCTGGACCTGACAGAGCAGAGGCCAAGGGGTGGGGCCACTAATCCCTCTGATTTGCTTGGGGCAGAAGATACTATGTATCAGGGAGCAGCACATTTTTGTTCTGTAAAGGGTAGTAGTTGTAAATTCAGAGAGTAAATATTTGAAGCTTTCCAGGCCATACGGCCTCTGTTGTAACTACTCAACTCAGGAGCAGCAAGAGAGTGAGTGTGGCTGTGTTCCAATAAAACTTGATTTGTTGACCCTGAAATTTGAATTTCATATCATTTTTTCCCACCATGAAATCGTGTTATTTTGATTATTTCCTCCAGCCATTTAAAAAAAATTCTAAAAATGGTTCTTAGCCCACTGGCCATACTAAAGCAGACAATAGGCTGGATTTGGCCCACAGGCTTCAGTTTGCCAGCCCCTGCTATGTGTGTTTGGGAATACTGCAAGATTGGGCTCAAAAGTTGGGTAGAAGAGGGCCTTGAATGCCAAGATGAGGTTTTGGGGGTTGGTTTGGTCAGACCGTGGTTACAGATTCCACACCTCCTGCCCTGGGGGGAGGAACTTGCCACTAACCCTCAATCCACATCCCCCTACAACCCAACCCAACTCCATCAAACAGCTAGAAAAATGTGTGTTTAGACCTAGAGCTGAAACATACATAGGGATGACTTCTTTAAAAATGTGTGCCCAGTTACATAGGACTGCAAAAACACAGCTTATTCCTAAAAGAAAAGTCAATAAAGAAGTATACAGCCTAATAAGGAAATTTCCCTTCCAATCCCACTCTGTACGCTGGCAGTGACTGTCACTAGGAGGTGCATGAATGTGAGTCCATCCCCTCTCCTATGCACACTGTGACACATACACAGTCTATATTTATGCACACCACACATGGCTCGATCTTTATGAGAGTTCAGTGACATGATTTTGTCACTTAACAACTCAACCCCAAATCTTCCCATCTCAGCACACAAATCCATCCTGTTTGATTTTTTTATTGGCCACCAAGCACTGTATGGCAGGTGTGTGATACTGGAACAGTTTGTCCTTGCTGCTGGCAATAAGCATTGCAAATTCTCTGGGACTTGGGGAAGTCCTGCCAAGCCAGACAGAATCTGGGGCCTTAGCATCTCAGGTGCTCCTAAATGACTCTGAGGCTCCAGGTGGACAAACCTGCTTCCTCCTGAAGAGTTAAGCATGGGTAGCACCTACCCAGTCAATGCTTTGGTCCATCCCTCCATCTACCCACCCATTCATTCACCCATCCATCCATCTATCCATCCACCCACCCACCCACCCATCCATCCATCCATCCATCCATCCATCCATCCATCCACCCACCCACCCATTCATCCACCCATCCATCCATCCATCCACCCAGCCACCCATTCATCCACCCAGCCACCCATTCATCCACCCATCCATCTATCTACCCAGCCAGCCAGCCAGCCATGCCTTCAATATTTCTTGAACACTGATAATGGCTTCAATACTCTGGTGTTGATAGCGAATACAGTCATATGCCTGCTTCTTCAGCCTTCGCTGTCTGGTGAAAGAGGGTGTACAACATGCCAGGTATTGAGAATACAGCAGGGAACACAAGAGAAAAAAATTCCTGCCCTCTCGGATTTATATCTTAGGGGAGGAGACAGAAAATAAACACATGAACGATTATGATGCGTCAGGGGTGGTAAGAGCTAGCGGGCATATAAGGCAGCGTGAAGGAGTAGGAAGTGCTGGGAGTGGGGTAGCATGTGAATTGGTCAGGGGAGGCCACTCTGAGCAGAGACCTGGGAACAGTGAGGGAGGGAGTTTGCAGATATGGGGCGTGGGAGTATCAAAGGGGGAACAGCCAGTGCAAAGGCTCAGAGGCCGGGACGTTCAGAGAACAGCCAAGTTGTTCAGCGTGCGGTTGCCAGAGAGCAGGCTCCCAAGGTCTAGTGGGCAGGGAAAGGCACGGCTGTTACTCCAAGGGAGGAGGAGGATGGGATGAAGTTCAGGGATGACGGGCATGACCTGATTTACAGGCTGGCTGTGGGGCTGGGACTAGATGGAAGGGGGCAGGGCTAAGGAGGGAGAGGGGTCAGGAGGCCACTGCACTTGACCCAACAAGGGATCTTGGACCAGGTGGCTGGGGGGAGGTGGTAAGAAGTGGTAGGACTCTGGTGTATTTGGAAGTAGCCACGGGTTTTCCTGATGGATTGGATGTGGGCTGATACAAAGGAATGAAGGCTAACACCAAGGTTTTGGCTTCACGGACAAGAGCCTGGGGGCCATAGAAGACGAGCAGATTGGAAGAAGGGAGTTTGAACTAGGAGCTTGATTTGAACTTGCTAAGTTGGAGGTGTGCATCAGCCATCAAGTGGAGAAGTGAGGAGCAGAGACCCAGCAGAAGGGGGAGCCTGGAGTCAGGGAACAGGTCCAGGCTGGGGATGGAAACTGGAAACGTGGGGGCTGTCCGCATGCAGATGGAATTGAAAGCCATGTGCTGGATGCCAGCCCCAAGGAAGAGCACAGACGGAGAAGAGGTCTGGGGGCCGGGTCCTAAGGCATGCCAACCTTAGGGGGCAGGGAGACAAGAGCACTGAGAAGCAGCAGCCAGCAAGTAGGAGGACTCAGAGAGCAGAGCGGACATCTGGGAGCTAAGGGGAGAAGGGATTTCAGCAAGGAGGCCACAGCCAGCTGGGTCAGCACTGGGGACACAACACTGACCACAGGGTCTGGCAAAACAGTGTGACCCGTGCAGAGATGTGGAAAGCTCAGGTGACCCATGGAAGCACCAGGAAAAGACAGTGAACCAGGGAGAGCTTCCTGGAGGAAGGGGGTGTCTAAGGAGGAGCCTGAGGGATGCATACACATTCGCCAGATAGAAAGGCAATGTCCAGGCCAAGGAATCAGCATGAAGGCCAGGAGGAGAGAGCAGTTCCAGATCATTTGGGGGAACCGAAAGTACAGTCTGGCTGTACTGTGGGGTGTGGGATGGGTGGGGGCACATAGGGAGGGGTGTTGTCCTCACAGGACACTAGAGAGGTCAGCAAAGCAAATGGTAGGGTCCTTGATTAGAGACCAGGCATTGCGTGATGGGCAAGTCAGGGAGGAGGGATTGTGGCTTCGGGGTGGGGAACCAGGGAGAGAAGCAACTAGGGGAAGGACTGATAGTTTAGGGTGCTGTGATGTTCAGTGGGCGATGTCCAGCATCAGTGGGACATGTGGGCTGGAAGGCAACCACATTTGTAGGATGCCTGGCAGAGCTGGGTGAAGCTGAGCCATGAACCCACCACTTTCCTGGTGCAGCGTGAGGTCAGCCTGCATCCAGCCACACTTTGGGTGCTGGGGAGGACCCTGGCAGCCTCCCGCCCCTGCGGTTTGTCTCCTCCTGCAGCAGGAGCCCAAGGGGAGCCCAGTGGCTCCTCTGGATGGGCTGTTTTAACTGTCCTGTCCCTCCCATCTCTGTCCCATCCACAGTCCACCAAAGCCTTTGCCCTGCCCCTCAGGCACCTCAAAAGGAAGGGGCTCCCACCGTTTGATGCCTGCTCCTGTACACTGATTTATGGAACACCTGCTGGGTACCATCCTGGCTCTGGGGGAGCAGTGATGGCCCTGCAGGCAAGCCTCTGCCCTCAAGGACCCACCATCCAATGGGGGAGGCCAGCAATAAATATATAATTAGAGTCCAGAGTGCTATTAGGAGAGGGAAGCCTGGGGGGACCCATAGGAGTTAGAGGGGCTTCTAGGAGGAGGCAACATTTAAACTATAGGTCTGAAGGATGAGTCAGAGTTTGCCAAGCAGAACAGGGGTTGGAAAGTGAGTGAACAGGCACAGCAGGTGGAAGGCTCAGGGTGAGAATGGGTGTGACAGGCAGGAGGGAATGAAAAGAGGGGCGCTGGGTTGGGGGGCTGTGGTGGTGGTGAAGAACTCAGGAGTCAGGCTTCGGAGCTTGGACCTCACCCTGAGGGCAATGGGGAGCCGTGGGGTATCTCAAGCAGGTAGTGAGGTATCTCAACTATTCACCTGCGGGAGAATTCACAGGGCCAGCAACTCCCTTCACAGCCTGGAGAGACCCAGGAGCCCCTCATCCGAGGCCGGACGCCCTCCACCCTCCCTGCAGCTCCCTGGCAGGTGCACTGGGCCAACGTGTCCCGCACTCCTCCAGGCCCCTGCGACTGTGTGACACGCCTTGTGAGCGCCAGTCCCACAGGCGTGCTCTGGAAATCCAGTCCGCTGGGGGACGCGAGGGCATGTCACCCAGCGCCGGCACCGCCGCGGGGATCAGAGCCCCGCGGCTGGTGCTGAATTCTCCGGAGCCACCTACGGCGGCGATCGACTTGCCGCGTGCGAGCGCTCCGGACGCCACCTGGGAAGGCTGTCTGCGGGATGCTGAAGAAATAAATCTGTGCACGAAGGCGCGCCGCCCCTCCCCAACACAACAGCACCCCTCTCTCTTCCGCCACCTCTCCCGCCTCCAACCCAGCCCAGTCCTCTGGGCAGCGGCCTGGCCTGCCTCGCGGCGCCACCGTGTGGTTGAGGCGGGTCACGACAACGGGAGGTCCCTCACTCAACGCCAGCCACTAAGCGCTGGGTAGAGTGACGGGGTCCGCCTTACAGCCCCCCTTTCCAGGCTGCAAGACACACCGCGTCCTATTCTCATGACATTTTAAAAACTTCTCATTACATTAAAAAAAATTATTTACGACTCTACAATAGTACTTTTTCGGAATGGAAATATATCTACAGCCTGCTTGTGATTTGTAATTATTTAAGTAATACATGCTTTCCGAAAAAAAGCAAACTCCACGGACTATATAAGGTAGAATTTGTCGACAGTTTCTTCCCACTCCTCACCCCACAGCCAGCCACTGGTTGCATTTTGGCCAATAGGTCTCCAAATGTTTATTTCTACAGAAAAAAATATATGCATATGTTTCTATTTGTCCCACCTCTTTTCTTTTTCTTTTATACAGAAATATATATATGTAAACGAGGCCTATTATATGTGCCTTGTTTTGTTCTTTAAATTTTTTAAATTAATTATAGAGTAGAGGCAAAAGAATATTTATCTAATATATGTAAAGTATATTACATATTTTTAAAATCAGGTTGAAGTGAACCCTGTGTGCTTACCACCCAAGTTAACATTTTTATTACCTTTGAAATGTTTTTCATGCTTGACTCTTTTTTTCTCCAGTTTAAAAAACATGTATGTTCTGTTTTCTCTTTCTCACCTTACTCTGGACTGCTTTGGCATT